TTCATGGTGAATGAATTCGCACATAGTTACTCATCATTCATTATTGCATCTCTGGGCTGAAATAAGCATCAGTCAAGGGGCCCCAGCCATGGAGGGGGGCCCGGCCCCCAGGGGGGCCATGAGGGGGCGGCCGCATTAACAGCGCAGGGGGCGGCGCTGATTAATGTTGCGTTCCCTGACGTGCTGCTGTGACGTGCTGCTGTGACGTGCTGCTGTGACGTGCTGCTGTGACGTCGCTCCCTGACGTGCTGCTGTGACATCGTCGCTCCCTGACGTGCTGCTGTGACGTCGCTCCCTGACGTGCTGCTGNATCAATTGTTGATGATTCTCCAGTGTCTTTGAATACTTCTGTTCCATTGTTAGCACAGTCTAGTGTTGCTCCGCTACCAGCTGATTTCATGATTCGATTAACCAACTGTCTTACTGATCTGTTCTCACTCTGTCTCTTATACACATCTAGATGTGTATAAGAGACAGGGCTTACACACATCCATGGCAGTATAATAGATTTCCCAAATGGTCAATGAATGCTACAAAAATGAATGAATTTCTTACGAATGCTACATTCATAAGAAATGAAAAAATTAGTGATGTAGACCTAGATAGCTGAATATGTTGCTCATTTAAAATGGTGCCCACATATTTACCGTTAATAATCTATGATCAAATTAACTCAGCAAATTAACCTCCTCATGAATTATTTTCTGAATAGGAAACCAACAGCAGAATGATATCTGTTCATACGCCAGCACGTCGTGCACATGTTGCACATTCATGCAATATATCTTATCTTAAAGTGTAAATGCATTGTGCATTCGATAAATGCTCTCAAAGTGCATTCGATCAGTACGATAAAAAAATTGTACGCACATATTATGTTATACTTACAGAAGCAGAAGTAAAGGTAAAGCTGAAAGTATAACTTTTTTATTTGAATTAATAATAAAATAGGTTTGATGGACGTAATGTATAATAATATTTTAATTTATTTCTTCTTCTTATTATTTATTTATGAATAAGCTTGAACAATCTACGCCCCGAGATCAATAAAATTGTTGCCTGTCTGATTGGTTGTTGTTGTAATTGCCAAGCGCTCAGAAAATGTTGAATGATAGTTTTAGAAACCAATCACCGTAGAAATAATTCTGAAATAGTGTGTCGATTGAAAGCACCTTCAAACCTAAAAGAACTATTATAATGAAAAATACTGGCATTAAAGACTGGAAAATATTTTATTTCTAATGCACGTCATATCAATTATTAATTATAATTAAAGCATTTTCCCAAAACTCCGAGGAAAATGTATGCATATGCGGAAAGAACTATAGGTTCTGTAATATATGTAATGCATTTATTTATAAGGGCATTAGATCCATACGGAGACAATGTAGGAATAGTTGTGTGTACATGTTATTTAAAAATTCATAAGTTAATGCTCCATAATGCCGGCTAATCGGGCGCAAGTTACTTTAGACGCAATTCATGGTACAGATTCTTCTGATGAATGTGATCAATTTTCTTCGACAAATGGTCTACAATTAAATGGTCTACGATTCATCGTTGCGCCCTTGGCAAAGAAAAGAAATGCTCACAGCTTCAAATTTAGTCTGTTCTCGAGTTTTCGATGCCTGAAAGTTTAAGTAAAATTAACTTATCATTTCGAGAGAGAAGTAACCCATCACTTATAGAGGGAAAGTATGATACCCAGCATCATTAACGTTAGTGAAACGTCAATGATTTCCATTAAAGAATAAATTAGAATGTTAATTTCGAATATGCACTCAAATATTTCTTGTATAGATGCAACGAAACTATACGACGATATCAAGGAATATATAAAACGAATATTTGGCATCATTTAGGGAAGTAGAGCCCATTTGCGAAACGAGTTCCCAATACCAACAGGTGAACAGGCAATTGATTGAAAATCTGTCAAATAATTGAATTTAATGTTTGGGCTGGAACTCAATTTGAGAGATAAAAATTATGAAGGTAGCATGATGTTTGTGATCAAGAGCTATAGTTACACTTTGAAGGAAGAAATGTATCGTGGAAAAATAATTCGATGAAAATCATCACGGTCAGTCGATAAAAAAATTTACGATAACTAATCAAAAATCTTCACACTCACTGTGTAAGTATGCAAAGCTCGAAAATATTATATATTTTAATTGGAATTCAAACAGTAGAACGCAAATAATTTAAGGCATATTCACATAGCACATACACGCACTATGATGAAAGTAAGAACTCCGTGTTTGAAGAGCACACAATGACGTAATAATTGAATGTAAAGAAAACCTGCTCTATATATATTCTCTGAACCTACATAAACTTCTTGTATATTTGTACAGGGAGAATTTTTCCACTTGCATCATGAGGTTCACGTCATAATATTTACCCCACAGGTACAAGTCATCAGGAGGGAGATGAACAAGTTAAAAATGTTTTCATACGTGTAATTAAAATATCAGAGGAGTGCATAGATGCGAAGAGCTCGTTTAGATTTGTAACAAGGACGGAGTAAACAGTTCTATCCTCACAAGAACTTAGATAAAATGAAACCTCCGCTAAAAGCTGCCAAGTAGCAACATTATTTCATTTGAGATTTACCCTCTCCAAGTCCACGATATCTATCAATAATTTTATTTGATATATGCACTACAGAGGAAAAAATATTTGAAATAAAAACTGTCGGGCGTTTGAAAAATAACGATACATCTTAATATATACGTACAGGAAGGTCAATAACTCATGTGGAATAATGATAATTTTTTATATGTTAGCCTAATGGTACGCAGGTCGATGATTGGCACCGAGCAGCACTAAAGTATTCAACTACCCCAATATCAGAACACGGCGTCTCGACCACCTCGAATTAAAGAATTTTTAAAGGGACTCGGTACATCCTATGTTCAAATCAAATCATAATTAAAATGATTGACACGCTAAATACTTTTCTTCACAAAATCATTAATATAAGAAAAGACAGTCTCTTTCTGTTGTGAACGCTGAACTCGCGCAAGGCTGCACTTCATGGCTCACTGGTGCAATTTCGATACTCGTCAAATCAAACGATTAGGTGCACAATTCAGTTGGTAAATGTGAAGAAGAAATACTCATTCAAAGTTTTCCGTGATTACAGGTCAGGAAGAAGTGTATGATATGGTTGGATGGCGAAAGTTTAATAATCTGTCCCTGATTAAATCCGGTCATAATTAATGAACGCGACGTACGTTGTCGGGACGACGCCATAACAGTCGCTGCATGACCATTGCATGGTTGAGCGCCACAAGTGTGAGGTGGGTTCGGAACGCAGGTCGCGGGTGTTGCGGCCAGCTAGGTTGCCTGGTACAGAAAGGCAAGAGAAAACGGCCAAGTCCGCTGAAGAAAAAGGCAGTGACCAGCCACGATACAACATCGTTGAATTTCCATTGATGAAGTGTGAAATTAATTCTACTAAATCATTCAGAACTACGCATCTGACCTCATCATAAACTTTGTCGATTCGATTCTCATCAAAAATTTTGTGTAGCTTCTCACTGTACCCAAAGCGTGATTAGAAGAATTCTCACTGAATATTTCTTTATAACAAAAGCAAACTCTGAATATATTTATTGATGATAATTATCAATTCATTATCTATCAGGTTTATTTGCTACAAGTAATTCTATCCTAAAGTGATTCAAAAATTCATGGTCCATAAATGCACAATGCCAAGGAATTCATACTATATATAATTATGAATCTACGTTGTGCGAGTGCACATATTTGAACATCTTCCTCTCTAAAAAAATAATTATAAATCTTACACTGAAATTAAAGGTATCAGGGCTAATACAAACAGAAATACCGTGCTTGCTGGGTAATTGATGGTTTTTGATTTAGCAGTTTAATTTGACAGAGTTTATGAGTAAGCGGTAAAAAAAAGTAGATTTCTGAAGCTTATGTAAAAATATCATAGACTCATGGATAAAAATGTCGTTTTCTTAGACATTCATCAGTTCAGCTATTGCGATAAAATCGAAAAAATTCATAGTAATGTTTTATATTATAGGTTGGCGATGGAACTTAAACTTGTTTAGAAAAGTACATTGATATTTTGCTCACTTACATATGTTCCCATTTTACTCAAATTTTATGTTCATTCGAAAATATCTTTTCTCGCTCTTTTGTTACTTTAATCAACAAATTACCAGTACCAAGCCTTTCAATTTATGCTTAATAATTTGAAATATTTGTCTTCCAATATTTGTCGTTTGAAATATTTGTGTTCCCGTTCAAAACTTGTATCACATATGCAACAATTGTATGGAGGACTGCAAGATCGCGTATTAAGATGGGTCATTTAGAATCGATATGAGAGTTGCGAAATGCTTATGCGCCATTCAGCAATGTCAGAGTTGAATCTGTGTTAAGATATTCATTATTTATTATACTGATTTAGCCACAGGAAAAATGAAAATTATTAAATGGATCAAACCATGTCAATATATCTACCAGCTAACATATGATTGGTTTAATAAGCTGCATAAGCTGTAGGATATTATAACTTCTAACTTTTCCGGAAAATTTGAGGGCATTGTCTTTCGATTTATTTTTGGTCATTGGTCGGCTAATCAGATGTCAACAAACAAGTTAGCGTAAGTTCAATCGAGTGCAGTCAAACATTAGTTTCAATTTTCTCGTTGATTTCTTCGTCACCAAACTTAATGAAGCATTTAAAGTCGTTATTTATTTAAAATATACTTGCCATCTCAAGGCTACATTCAATATTTTTTGTAGTGACTTGAAATTTTACGTAACGCTGTGCTCTTCATCGCTTTCTGCTAGCTGATCAACAAATTATTCACGTGATTTCGATGGGTTTTAGCTGGAATATATAAAAACCAGAATTTCTCAATGAAAGACAGTGCATAGGAAAGCCAGACATATTTTTAATTCTAAGCTGACAATAATGATTGACGTTCTTTACTAGTGCAGAATTTGCCGCCTGAAGCATGCGTTTGACCGCGTCGAGTTCGACAGCAGCTACGCCAAGTCTGGCGGCGCTAGCGCTGCTGGCGGCGCTGCACGCATCGCACGCTTGGTACGACAACGCCAAGCTCGTGCAGAGCGTGCGTGGCGACTGGCTCTTTGCTCCCGGCTACGCCATTGACCCCGCCAATGCTGCAATTAAATTGACTCTTGCTTCCTTCTGTGAGCTACCAATAGAACTTGTATTTCTTCCCAAAGAGTTAACATTAATATGTGCTTTTCTCGCGAAATAGTAGAGACTACGGAACCAAACTGTGCTGTAGTTATCCGTTATATTACATTATCGAGTACATTTGACATTGAATTCTGCAGCAACTTAAAAATTATTATAAGATGGCAGAATATTCTTGTTTATATGCGTACAATTTAATGACTAGAGACTGCATTATAATTTTCATGGAGTCAAACAATTATTTAGTTTATATGATGTTGGCAGATCAAAAGGCAGATTTAGCAAATAATAATAATTTATTAACGACGTTTCGAATGTAGCAACCTTCATTTTCAAGTTGAGAGAAACATTGAATCGTGAAATTTTGTTGGACATAAGTACATATCACACGTAAATAGAATACAACACAAAAATTTCGAGCCAGAAAGTCCTCCTGCAAACAATCTCAAATTTTTTAGACAAATCCGGTAGTTTGGAAATGGATAGCTGGGGTCCAATTCAAAATTAAGATGGTTCCAGCACTCGTTGGTCGGTTAATGTTGAGCTAAATGAGCACCTCCGCATGATGATGTTGGTAGGTTCCTCCAGCACGGTGCGATCGACGGGCTAGTGAGTTTGTCTCAGGGGGCTTCTCTGCCCTCCAGGTTGAAGATGACAGGTGAGACGGTCTCAATGTCGTGGTTGTTAGTCCAAATACTCCAATGTAGTCCAAATGCTGAAGAAGTAAGTCTACAACCTTCTTTGGAGCAAAATTTATAAACTACGCTGGCGTCTTGGAAAACTTCCGCTTTCTGTCAGGGGCCATTGTTTCGTATAGTCCGGAGTTTGACGTTGTCAAGGGACTCGCTTCCATGAAAGTAATAATGCATTTTCAGGTCATTAAATTGTACGCATATTAACTTGAAAATGTATATGAATAGTGTGTATGTGCTATGTAGTGGGTCCACGCATGTACTGGCTGTGTGTTTTCTGTTGTGTAGGCGCCTGCAGGTCTGCCTGCACTTTTCACGGCTGCTTGGCTCTGTCCTACGACGCTGGGACGCAGCAATGCCTCTTGTCGAACGCTTACAGCCAAGCCATACCTCTGCCCGGAGCAAAGTACATGCACATACCCAGTAAGTCTTGATGTACTAAAGTGAAATGGGCTAATGCCTATCTGCCAATGTTAGGTCTAAAGTATACACTGCATGTACCAGATAACACCTTGTTTCATTTTATAAGCGGTGTAGCGATATAGCATGATAGCTTATGGTGAGATTAAGCTACATGTCTGAAAAAATATGAAATTAAATAGGAAAAATAATATAACAACTGAAAATTTTGAACAGAGAAAACACCAAGACGGATCAAACTTTCAAGTCACCAAAACCATAGCTACTAGTCAGACTGAATCAGTTTATCCTATCTTAAACAAAAATCATTTCAAAACAAACTATACAAACTGTTTCAGAACAAAACATCACGAGGGGCGCTGACGGCTTGTATTATGTCGTCACGCCGTTTTTCCCGGACAGACAAACGGCGCTGGCGCAGTGCGCGAAATTTGGCTTCCGCAACGCCATATCGAGGAGCCCCCAGACAACGCAAGTGCTCAAGAAGTTCGCTACAAGTATGGTATTAGGAATTACCTTAGACTAAAATTTTAAATAGTCGCTTGAGTTAATAATTTATGAGTTTATCATTCATATATACTGTATTTAAAATGGCAACCATTCAATTAACTGCGATCAGTTAAGTTTAATTCCATGGAATAAAATATTGCGCACAGATTTTTCTGGATCGTCAACAGATCCACAGAAATGCACCTGGGTGGGGCTGAAGAAAACTTCTCCTAATTTGGACTTGGTGTGGGAGGACGGAACTCCTCTGGACATGAATGCAGTGACGTCTCTGGATTTACTGAAGAACGGAGGCTCTGGCGAAATGTACTTTGCCCTCTACCAAAATGTCATCGACGACATGTCAGATGGCTGGCCGTGTAACGTCATCTGCCAGGCAAACTTCGACCACATTCAGTGGTAGTGGCAAACAAGATATCGTCCCAACATTCAGTGGTAGTGGCAAACAAGATATCGTCCCAGGTTTCTCTAGCACAACACCATGCACCATTGTCGGTAGTTAACGATAATTGCGGATCTCATTGTTTAGTCTTCGAGTAGATGAACTGTTTTCTAATATTTCTGCAGTAATTTTTGACTCGTGATGACGAAACATAATTTTGCCATATATTAGATGTTATGCGATTGATCATGCATTGAATTAATGAATATCAAGTAGCATTTTAACATTCTATGACATCCAAAAGACAATTTTGGATGTCTCCAAAATGTCTTTTAAACTAATTTTTTTAAATATATATACTCATTAATTATAGATGTGCAGTACCCACTACTATTGTCAACAATAATATTGGTTTTTAATTATTTCTAAATTTTTAAATAATAATTCAACTATAACATTTGTTGCATGAACGTTGCTCTTTGATATAGTCATACTCAGGCATATCTGTGATGGCAAGGCTTTTATCAAACAAATTATAATCGAGAAGTTTACAAATGGAACTCTGCTAATAAATCATAAACTCTAATAAGTTTAAATAACATAGAACTGGTGCAACGAAGTATAAAAAATATAAGTTAATTTCAGCCTAACGACCTCTAACTAGACAATAAACCGTCCTATGCAATGACTATTAATATCATGAGTCGTATGCAATGGATCATTAGTCACCCGATAATCGTTTGAAATAATCCTGCAATTATAAAATTAGCCAATTTATAAAACAATCTGGATTTTATCCAAGTGAAGGTATCTTTGCACATCAAATTACAACTATCACCAAGAGTGTTTTTCGTAGTAGTTTAATCAGTAAAAATATACCTGTTCACTATTGATGGATTTTTTTTCAATCAGGGTTCACTCAAAATAAAATGTGGTGCATATCCGTATGTACTAGATTTAATGCCTGAATGAATGTTTTTTTACGTTATGTGGTATAGGCAGTGGTGGGCACAGCTAACCTAAAAGTTAGCTTCGATAACCGCTAATCCGCTAACTGAAAAGTTAGCTTCGATAACGCTAAACCGATAAATCACCAAAAAACGTAGCGGAGTTTGCCGCTAACCGCTAACCGCTAACTTTTAATATTTAAATTTAGATTTTGGTTAATTTTTTTTTTGGGGGGTAGCGGACTTCCAGTTAGCGGAACTAAATTTAGCGGAAGCTAATTGGTCCGCTAAAGGTTTTCAAAGTTAGCTGAACAGCTAATCCGATAAGGAAAAAGTTAGCTTCGCTAATTAGCGGTTAGCGGATTAGCGGAACTGTGCCCACCACTGGGTATAGGTAGTAAATATTTGGATATTAGTATTAAGTTCTTGGGTCGATGCCGTCGTCAATGTACATTGCCAGAAGACATGCCACATCATTTCTAATTCACCGGTAAATCCAAAGCTTATAGCTGCACAAATGCGACTGGTTCTTTATTAAACTCAGCTAACTTATACTCTAGGTTGCCAGCTCATGCTTGAGTCAAGGTTAATTTGGACCTAACAGTAATATAGCTTCAATGTAAAGCAAGAGTTAACATCACTTACGTACGTATAATCCGCTGCCATCGTCGAGAATTTTGCAAAGTTATATCAAAAGTTATATATTATAAGTTATAATGAAGAATTGTTTAATTTATATAAAAAAATTTCAATTGAATTTTGATTAGCTACACTTACAAAGTTTATTCTTGCGTCACGCGATGTTATCGAGGCTTAACTCGACGTGTCGAGTTAAGCGATTAGACGACTCGTGTCGTCGAATCGATTAAGACAAACTCAAATATAAATTCATAAGTTGGTGACAAAAATAAATTTAAAAACAGAAATAGAGAATGAATTGAAGTTTAAATACCTCAGTTTAAGAATCCTTTAATAAAAAGTAAACGGCAATTCGACATTTATTGACATCAGAATGCTTATACAGCATGTATGTACATATGTCTCATGTAAGTAAGCGACCCAGTATGTAGGTGTAATGTCGTCCGCGGATTCTTTTCATCATAGGTTCCAGAAGTAAGTTCAAGTAACTAAGTGCCAACCAACATTTCTTCTGCTTGTAGGTTAACAGAATCCGGTTCAGAAGTAGTTTTATTGAAGGAGACCAGAAGCAAGAACAGAGCGACAGAGGAGGGAAGACTTCAGACTCGACATACAATTTTTAACTCGCCTCTCATCAAGAAAATGAATAGGTACAATAATGGTCAGAACTACAATTTGTAGTGTTAGATTATCAAATAAACAATACAAAGCTGTTCCCATTACCCTATAAAGTTGTGATCCTGTTTGGTTCATAAATTGGTCGTTTCTAATGAAGGCCGATGACAGAAGTATTGTAGCTTCAAACTTGACAACGGCGGTATGTCATATTAGTTGTCATCGTAGTTGAATCAATGCAACATCGTAGTTCAATCAATGCATCGTAGTTGAATCAACAGTGCTCGCATCTACATAGTACATACACTTCAAAAAATATAACTCAGTACTCACTGCAGTGAGTGACAGAGAGCGCATTTACTCGTCGACGAAAACTTGAGGTCACGGATGGACGGACAGACACAGACGGACATGGCAAGCACAATGGTGCATTTTTCCCATAAATGAGAAAATGCGCTAAAAATGGCAGGAATATAGACATTTGTTACATAGGCTACTTTTAAATAGCTTAGTTACAGTTTCAGAGTTTGCATCACTTGCCTTTGGCCCGTTAACGACCTCTTTTCTTGACAGTGCAAAATCTATGACCAACTGGTCAATGGTCATAGCAAAGTTTGAAAGTAAAAGCGATATATATGTACAATTGGACGAATGAATTTCATACATGAACAAATAATATATGGCGAAATATTATTGAGACTGTTTAGAAATGAGACTAAATAATCTCTCAAGTCATAATAAATCATAATCTTAGCCAAACAAATCGTAATAGTAACCTCTAATTAATCTATTTGTAAACCAAATTAGGGCCCGCAAAGTGTAAAAGCTATTGTTTCGAAAAATACTGTGCATCACGGGGAATAAGTCTGGCTTCTTCACTTCTTGAATGGACTCACTAGACAATAGCTAAGAGTCTCAATTGAATTTCAATGCATAAGTAAACGGCTCAAAGCAAAGAGTATTCGACTAAAATATATCTTATATTAATAAATTGTTAAAATAAATAATAATACGACGTCACGGCAGCAGTCCAAGACTGCTGCCGACTGAAGCAGCAGTCCAAGACTGCTGCTTCAGGAGCAGGAATGGCAGGAACAGCAGGTAAAAAGTGTTCAGAAAATAATGATGCTTTGGCTGAGTCATCATCATGGGCAGCATCAAGCATATAGGGTAAAATGAATAAATTATTGGCCTACCCTGAATGCTGCAAATTTTTTCCCAAGGCTCTTTGTTGGTAGTGGATGAAGAGATTGTGCCCACATACTGGATCCAGCTTTGATGCTACTTCTTGAGCTTCAGGTTACAAGCCACCTTCATGATGCTTGTATTTTAGGAGGCAGCACGTCATGAGGTGACGTGCTGCTGTGACGTCGTCGCTCCCTGACGTGCTGCTGTGACGTCGTCGCTCCCTGACGTGCTGCTATTACGTCGCTCTCTTACGTGCTGCTGTGACGTAGCTCCCTGACGTGCTGCTGTGACGTCGCTCCCTGACGTGCTGCTGTGACGTCGTCTATGTTGCTCATTTAAAATGGTGCCCACATATTTAGCGTTAATAATCTATGATCAAATTAACTCAGCAAAGCCTCCTCGTGAATTATTTTCTGAATAGAAAACCAACAGCGGAATGAAATCAGTTCATTCGGCAGTACGTCGTGAACACGTTGCACATTCATGCAGTATATGTTTTATTAAAGTATAAATGCATTGTGCATTCGATGAATGCTATCAAAAACTGGTATGCACATATTATGTTATACATAGAAAAGCAGAAGTGAATGTAAAGATGAGAATGTAATTTTTTATTTATAATAAAATAGGTTTTATGGACGAAATAAATAACAAAGTTTTAATTTTTTTTTCTTAATATTATTCATTTGTGAATGGCTTGATTAATCCAGACACCGAGATCAATAAAATTGTTGCCTGTCTGAGTGACTGTTTTTGTCTTTGACAAGAACTCAGGAAATTGTGAATGACTGTTTCAAAAACAAATCATGGTAGAAATAATTCTGAAATAGTGTGTCGATTATTCAAAATACTTTGAAACCTTAAAGAACTATTATAATGATGAACACTAGCATTAAAAACTGGAAAATATTTGATTTATGATACACGTCATATCAATTATTAATCATAATTTAAACATATTCCATAGACCCCGAGGAAAATGTACGTATGGACGGGAAGAACCAGGTTCTGTAAAATATATGATGCATTCATATGTACATCTATCCAAAAGGTGGCAATGGAAGAATGGCTGCGTGTACATTCTATTTAAAAATGCATAAGGTAATTGTCTAAAATGCCGGCTAATCGTGCGCAAGTTTCTCTAGACACAATTCATAGTACAGATTCTTTTATTGAATGAGATCAATTTTTTTCAGTAAATATGCGTGCTGGCTTCGATGGCTGATATGAAAGTTCTATCACAACAAATGAAAAAAATATAGCAATGGTGTCTGCGCTAAATTTCTACTATCACAATAGTAAATAACGTCGTATACTCGAATATTCAAAAGCGGATCTTGAACCAATAATTCAAGCGTGTACCATCCAGGCGCACATGAATTAAAATATGGGAGAATACCATCCTTTATTGTATCCTTCGTGTTAAATTAGATAATTAAGCTAAGATATTTATCGCCGCAAGCAAATGATATGCAATTTATTGATTCGCCGTTTGCATAGAAAAATTTTCAAAGCTTCGAATATAGTTCTTTTCGCGAGTTTTTGATGTCTGAAATTTGAAGACAAATTAACATTTCGAGGGAGAAATTACCCCTCTGCTATGAGTGAAAAAATGATAAACAACATCATTAACGCTGGTAAAACGTTAATAATACGCCATTAAAAGCAGAATCAATGAGGATGTTAAATTCTAATATTCAGTCAAAGGTATCTTGTAGATGCAATGAAACCATTGGACGGTATCAAGGTATAATGAAAACGAATCTTTAATTGGCGTAATATAGGAAAGTAAAGCACAATTGCTTAACAAGTTTTCAATACTAACATGTGAACACGCGATTGATTAAAAATCTGAAATGTAATAAAGTATGATGTTCGGACTGTAATTTGAGAGATAAAAATTACGAAGATAGCATGATGTTAGTGATTAAGAGCTGTCACATTTCGAAGGAAGAAATGTATCATCTCTAAATAATTCTCTAAAAATCCTCACGATCCGTCGTCGGTAAACAAAATTTACTCTTACTAATCGAAAATAGTCAGACTCACTTTGTAAGTAAGCAAAGCTCTAAAACACTAATTATTTTAATTGGAATTACAGCAGTTGAACGCAACTAAATTAAGGCATATTTACAATGCACGTGCCCGCACTGCAATAAAAGTAAAAACTGCGTGCGTGAAAAGCAAACAAGAACGTAATAATTGCATATTAAGAAGATCTGTTCTATATTTTTTCCATACCTACATGAGCTTCTTGTAGATTTAGAATATTTCCACTTGCATCATAATATTGGTCTATGTCATAATCTTTGCACCAGAGGCACAAGTCATCAGGGGGAGATGAGCAAGTTAAAAATGTTTTCACGCATGAAATTAAAATATCGAGTATTACATAGATATGAGGATCTTGTTTGGATGCGGAACAAGTAAAGAGCAAACACTTTTTTTTCTCACTAGAACTCTGATGAAAGGGGAACGCTTTAAAAAGCTGCCAAGTCGCAGCTTCATTTCATTTAGGATTTACACTCTCCTCGTCTACGATAATTATCAATAATTTATTGGATATTTGCATTACAGAGGAAAAAATATTCGAAATAAGAAGGGCCA